ATTTAAAGCTGAAAAGCATACAACACAGTAACGTACCATAGAGGCCTTTCTGAATGGGTTGACGATGGAGAGGTCATTACAGGGGCTTCCTCCGATCAGCAAATCAAACGGACCCCACTGCTCGAGCTGCATCGTCAAAAGGGAACAAGGAGCTGATTTAATTTAGTCTTAGGCTAATTGTCACTTCAGTTGAGCTGTGTTGAGCTGTATGTATGTCTTCGTGTTCAATTAAATTTTATTAATAGAGCGCCAATTCATAAGTTGTCTTTTTGCACTTTTCATAGAGAGCCTGTCTTCTTTAACACAGCATGATGTTAATTTTGTAAATGATGGTTCCATTTAGAGAAAGATAGACGATAAAGCAGGGTATGCTTTAGGGGAGGGACTACTGTGTGATTGAGAAGTCGCTACCATGGTGACCTACCAATCAGTATCCACTTGACTGTGTGCATTTAACAAGCTGTAAACTTGTTTTTGGATGAAGAACTTTGACCCTTTACGGTGTAAATCACACATGAATTATGGCTGCACCTCAATCACATACAACTATATGGGGAAAGCCTGTAAACAGCAAAGATGGCGTTTGTCCCGCCAGAAAGCCAATCATGTATAGAGCAGGTTTAACCCACACGCTTTCAAATGACTCAAAACAACAAAATATGAGACTTTAAATAAAAGCATAGGATTCAAATGAGTCAGATATCAAACAGAGTCACAGAGAATATGGTAGCAAGAAAAAATAATTTAAACGTTATCAACTGTGTAAGAATGTGAACATGTTCAGGAAGAACAACAAACAGTGTGTGTGTGTGAACATACGAATTCCTGGGAGATAGACCGAGCGTCACCAACATGCACAATCTTTCCATCGTGGTTGACGGTCGCCACAGCAATTGAATCCTCGCAGACCTCTGAGGCAACATATTCTCTACTTTGAAGCCAAGATCCTTCAGCACTAGGTACCCTGAAACAAAAAGAATAAAAAAATACATACTGTAAGCTTCTGACTGACATCAGGAATGAAAATGTTCTGTTTTAAACAAATATACAGTATAATCATAATTAGAATTTATAAGAGCAGAAAAGTATCTCAGAATAGTGAGGTCAGAACAGAGGAGTGAACCATCAGAGCAAACTACAATCCCAAAAAGAGAGTTGTTTCCCCAAAAGCATCTTAAGGCTAAAGTGGTTGTAAAATCATTCTTACAAACTTTATTAAGATTAAGAGGTGTTTCCCAAAAGCATCAAAACTTAGGATGCTCTTAGAAATGTTAGTAGATTAAAGATTAACCATAAGAGCACCTTAAAAAGCTCCAGCTACTAATAAATTAACATCTTCTGACTGAAATGCCAGTTTCCTGATTGTATATTTTCTGGTTCCATACAGGTGCTGGTCATATAATTAGAATATCATCAAAAATTTGATTTATTTCAGTAATTCCATTCAAAAAGTGAAACTTGTATAATATATACATTCATTCTACACAGACTGATATATTTCAAGTGTTCATTACTTTTAATTTTGATGATTATAACTGACAACTAATGAAAACCCCAAAATCAGGATGTCAGAAAATTAGAATATTGTGAAAAGGTTCAATATTGAAGACACCTGGTGCCACACTCTAATCAGCTAATTAACTCAAAACACCTGCAAAGGCCTTTAAATGGCCTCTCAGTCTAGTTCTGTAGGCTACACAATCATGGGGAAGACTGTCCAAAGACGACCTTGCACAAGGAGGACAAGACACAAAAGGTCATTGCTAAAGAGGCTGGCTGTCCACAGAGCTCTGTGTCCAAGCACATTAATAGAGAGGCGAAGGGAAGGAAAAGATGTGGTAGAAAAAAGTGTACAAGCAATAGGGATAACCGCACCCTGGAGAGGATTGTGAAACAAAACCTATTCAAATATGTGGGGAGATTCACAAAGAGTGGACTGCAGCTGGAGTCAATGCTTCAAGAACCACCACGCACAGACGTATGCAAGACATGGGTTTCAGATGTCGCATTCCTTATGTCAAGACACTCTTGAACAAGACACAGCGTCAGAAGCGTCTCGCCTGGGCTAAAGACAAAAAGGACTGGACTGCTGCTGAGTGGTCCAAAGTTATGTTCTCTGATGAAAGTAAATTTTGCATTTCCTTTGGAAATCAAGGTCCCAGAGTCTGGAGGAAGAGAGGAGAGGCACAGAATCCACGTTGCTTGAAGTCCAGTGTAAAGTTTCCACAGTCAGTGATGGTTTGGGTGCCATGTCATCTGCTGGTGTTGGTCCACTGTGTTTTCTGAGGTCCAAGGTCAACGCAGCCGTCTACCAGGAAGTTTTAGAGCACTTCATGCTTCCTGCTGCTGACCAACTTTATGGAGATGCAGATTTCATTTTCCAACAGGACTTGACACCTGCGCACACAGTGCCAAAGCTACAGTACCTGGTTTAAGGACCATGGTATCCCTGTTCTTAATTGGCCAGCAAACTGGCCTGACCTTAACCCTGTAGAAAATCTATGGGGTATTGTGAAGAGGAAGATGCGATACGCCAGACCCAACAATGCAGAAGAGCTGAAGGCCACTATCAGAGCAACATGGGCTCTCATAACACCTGAGCAGTGCCACAGACTGATGGACTCCATGCCACGCTGCATTGCTGCAGTAATTCAGGCAAAAGGAGCCCCAACTAAGTATTGAGTGCTGTACATGCTCATACTTCAGGTTCATACTTTTCATGTTCATACATTTCAGTTGGCCAACATTTCTAAAAATCCTTTATTTGTATTGGTCTTAAGTAATATTCAAATTTTCAGAGATACTGAATTTGGGATTTTCATTAGTTGTCAGTTTTAATCATCACAATTAAATGAAATAAACATCTGAAATATATCAGTCTGTGTGTAATGAATGAATATATATCCAAGTTTCACTTTTTGAATGGAATTACTGAAATAAATCAACTTTTTGATGATATTCTAATTATATGACCAGCACCTGTATGTTCTCTTTTCTTTTATAACGACGAGTAACATCTGCCTCAAGCTTTGTTGTCATACAGAACAAGTATAAAACATTTTTTTGTGTTGTTGACAACACTTAACGTGCGTGCCCTCGCTCCTAAGTACCGCTTTGGGAAAAACATACAGAATTTGAACAGCGGTGGTGGAAATCCTCTTAGCTTCTAACATCGATTGTTATTGGGGAAAACCGGGTACAGGTCTGTGTACTCACCTGTTGCTATGCCATCAAACAGGGACAGAACTCGAACTGGTCTGCGCAGGTTGGCTGGGATGGACGGGTAAACACGGTGCGGCTCCTACAAGGCAAAACAGTAAAAACAATGTGGTAACTAAGCCAGTGAGATTCTTTATTTATCAAATGAAACTTGTATTTTAGTTTAATATGTCTTTAGTCTGTGGTTAAATTCTTTGTTTAAAAGGTTTATATATATTTTTGTACCTTTTACTTTGTTGTTTTAATGCTTATGTGTGTCCACAGCAGGGTTGGGTGATCATCTCTATTTTCAGATCATGGCTACTTGAGATCACCGATTGGTGACCTGATCGCCAGGGGGGCGGTGTTACGTTGCAGCAAGTCAGTGAAATGCCAGCATGGAAGAATCAGGCTTATTAGCTTTAAGGTAAACCACCAGAAACATCTGTTAATGCACAGTACAGTGTTTCCCACATAATTACCGTGTCAGGAAGTTGCCATCGAAAGCAGCTATGTACAGCATGTTAACCTCGACAATCTAGATGTATTCTAACATTACATATCCATCTCAGACATTGACAGCATCGTGTTAAGAAAATAGATAGACTAATTTCTCAGAGTTAACTTCAATGCATAAGTTTCAATGTGTTTGTGAGAGAGAGCGAGAGAAGAGAGACAGACAGACACAAGCGGAGGAGCTGAGTGAATTATGATTTTATTCATTAAATAGTATGTGGCGGCCAGCGTTGCTATTGTGGCAGTGTGGAGCAGATTCTAGAGACTGTTTTTATATCATCTTAGTTCTGATAGTGAGTTAGTTAAAATCGCCTTAATATCGGAGCATGAAAAACCAATCGCTGATCATCCCTTCAATGTCGATAGGTGATCCAATCACCAATCGGAACAACCCTAGTCCACAGTAGATGCTCCTAATGCGTACATTATTCTATGAATGTGTTCTTGTACTTCCTTCTGCTGCTGCAACAATTCAATTTGCCTGCATGTCAATCAATCAATACAGTCTACCGTAAACACAATAATAATAATAATAATAATAATAATATAATAATAGTTTTTTTTAATCAGAAAATGTTTAAATATAATGAGTATTTATGGGTTGTATGCAAAGCTAAATTTAATTCATTTAGTAGTACATTTTTATTCCTATCTGAATCCCCATCACAAATGTACTTAATTTACGCCTCATTTCAGGACACAAAAGATTAAGAAAGAAAATAAGAGTGCAGGTACCAGAAGTGGAAAAAAAAAAGATGCAGATTGCAACTGAAACGATTAGCCAATAACTTAATTTGTCAATCGACAGACGATTTATCTACATCTATTCCCATTTGCAAGCAAATAAAAACCTGCAACTTTTCTCAGTTTAACATAATTTTCAATTGAATATATTTGTATAATATATAACTGGGCAAGCAGATTCATTGATAATGAAAATAAGTGCAAGTTGCACCCCTAAAGCAAATTAAAATTTTAAACAAAGCCTCCTAATACTGTTTTGATTACTAAGAATCTAAACCTTGCAAAACTATTCCTGTCATTGCAAAATGAAGAAGCAATATTTACACAGACATTTAATGTGAGTTATACCTGAAAAATTGGAATACATTGAAAATATTTGAAGGTATTCACAGAGCTGGTGAGTTTGCACGCTTATGAAAACGGTTAAGATCAGTTGAGCACTTACAAACTCCATGGCGCTGTTGTTGGCGAATAATTCCTGAACACGAATGCTCCAGTCCTTTCTGGGAATCAGAGCGCCGTGGGGTCGATGAGGCTGACACAAGCAGCAGATCCACGGGTCCAGCAGCTTTAAGGAATCAAACGTCCCCGGACTGACCAGGATGTTCATACAGTCTGCACAATAAGATCTGCAAATGTAGAAGATGAGAACAGACACTTATACGAAGGGGACAAAAATATGCTCTACTTGTTACCTTTGTTTTAGAGAGCTAGACTGAAATGCAGAGGAGCAGACCAACCTGCAGCAGCTATTGTTGCCACACAGTATGACCTCCAGTCCATAGCAGCAGATGGTGCAGTAGGACTGATATCCATCTTCATCGTAACGATACAGAGTTTCTGTTAAGTTATTCTGCAGAGAGACAAACAGCATCACAGGGAAATTAACAGACTAAATGACAGAACAGGGGGAAGAAGAAATGGAAATACGAAAACAAAAATAAAGATTAGTCTGCTGTAGAAATGTGGGTGTCAAAGCTCTAAAAAAACAAACCAAAAAAAACTCGAAAGCAATTTCTCTTTCCAGAAATCATGACGTAGTTACTTCTCGTTCAGGATTAGATGGACACTTCCTTCTCAGAGGAAATACAGTTAGCGGGTGTAGTGTCTCTCTGTGGATTGTCTTGAGTCATGATTTCTAGAAAGAGACATTGCTGTTGAGTTTTTCAAATGTGCTTTTGGGAGCTTTGACCATCACAAATTGAGTGCCAACCAGTTCATGTATATTCAAGAGAAGGCAGACGTCTCTACGGCTGGTATCTCCAAAACTCAGCAACTCACAACCAAACAATCTAGATGGATAAATAGCACTAGGAAAATATGTGTTTTTGATTTTGTTGTGCACTTTGTGTGTAAACTTGATACTCCACCGTTTAAAAGCTAAAATCCTTGTGATTCGACCCGTGCAAACCATTCCAAGATACAATCACCACAGCGGGTACAGTCAGCGCCTCTGTCAGACCAGCCGGTACAATCAAAATTTACGCGACTCACCTATGAAGCCTCATAGTAATCCACCGATCGATTATGCACAAAAAATTATTAACAAAAACGGTCTTGTTATGTCGTCAAAGGTCTAGACGATCCAATCCAGTAAAATCATTTAGTGCAAAACACATTATTACATCAATAAATCCCCAGGGACTGCTGCCGCATTGTTTCATATTTGCCGGTAGACCTGGCTTGTATGTCATTAAAACCGTAATAACTCAGATTTGAATGTAAACAACTACGATATCTTGTATTAAGTGTAGCTGCAGAACTCTGACCTTTTGAGTGACACCAAATTCAACCCAATAGGAGCTCACATGTCCCTTTCACAGCCTACAATAGCCAACGAGAACGCGAGCTGTAAGGAAGGGCCAGCTTCTATTATTTCGTAGATAGGCAGAGCCAATTGCAAGCAATTGTGCCGATGACTGGCACTTTGTGTAGCCAATAAAATTCAGACAATAACGATATCCAGCTTGAAGTAGGATGATCTACCAGCAAACAAACATCTGCGTCAAGCTACCGCCTAATACACAGTGATGCAGCAGCAGCGGCTGCCTGCTGCCAAGGGGCAGTTCTGTTTTAGAAAAAATACGCTAAAAAAAATAGTAAAATAGTCGTTTTTCATGGTATTGGTATAAAATTTAAACTTGGACTAGGGAAGGCTTTATGCCGCGTCCCTACAGTGTTTTCCAGCTAATAAGACCCAGCTATAGTTGTCTGCATGCATTTCTTAGCAACCATTTTCAAGTGGAAACGAAAAATATTAGTTTTAGTGTCTTTAAACTTATATTAATTAATTCCAGTAGCACTTACAGTGATTCTGATTTGGGTTAGAGTGTTATCTTTCAGAGAAGCCCAAAACCATGCATTTACTCCAAATGGTTCAAGAACTACATTAAATTTCCTTTGGATATGCCTTGAAGAGGCGTTTTACAGGAATGGTAAGAGATTCACACGTTAAACATGCGTTGGTCACAGCTGGAACATAAAGAGAAGTTGATAATGTCTTACTTTACACTCCAAGCAGAGGCTGCCTTTAAATAGAGGGTGGGACACTTCAACTTTGTCAGTTCCACAACACAAACAGAAGCCTGCAGACAACAGGGAAGAAGCAAGTGAGGAACAAATGAGTAAATTCATCTATACGAATAAAACGCATAAAACATAAAATATCATGCTTATATGTTTTACTACAAATATGTTGTAACAAATGTGACATCCTCAAACTTCAGGAATCATTATGAGAATAATCAGCATTAGCAGTTCTTACTGTGCACATGTAAACACAGCCAGTAATAAACTAACTGAGCCAATATGAGAGCGAAATATTTATGCATAAAAAGGGGGACAAATTTTTAATTAAATGACATAGAACATGTCAAAAGACTCACCTTCAATGTCCAGTTTCATATCCATGATCTTACGAATGGTCTTTTCTGCAAGGAGTGAAAACAATAACTGAATAACAGGTGAACGCTGCATGATAAATGATTCAACTTCCAACTTGGAAGTACAGTGCTGAATATTCATGCATTACTAAATTAAAAGATGTCAAAAAACTAATTCTTACGTACAGATTAGTTGTTACTAAATATTTGTAGGACCCACTTAGACTGAACGGGATGTGGCTAACATATCTGACCAGGAAAAGCTGAAAATGTATTAAATCTCAAAATCTCAAATTAAATTATAAAACTTTACGCCTTTAAAGTGAAACACATTTCTCTCTGTATGTATGTGCAAAAAAGTTTAATCTTTTGTTTGGTCTCTAAAACTGTGATTTTTGTAAGTTATGTTAGAGCTCGTAATGCTGACGACTTCCTGTTTACATAACTGCTTTTGACTGGGCATCACTTGCAAATCACTTACAGAGAAAGGATTCACTGTCTCCTTAAGTTCATTAAGTTTGGTGTAATATTGCAGACTACTTCAGTTAATCATTAGTGTGAGAACTTAGGCAGGATCTCACACACAAACTAAGCATTGAATAAGGTAGAGAAATCACAACCACAGCAACACACCAATCCATCAACATGGTAATTGGACTGTACCTGTATTCAACCTTTCTAGTCTTCCAAACACTGAAAATGCAATTCACCCAGTTCACACATATTTAAACACTGATGGCAGAGGCTACAATGCATAGTGCACAACTTTTAGGAGATATTTGAGGTTCAGTATCTTGCCTAAGGACACTTCGACATGCAGACGAGAGGAGCCGAGGATCAAACCGCCGAGCTTCCGATTAGCGGGCGACTTGCTCTACCGTTTTGTACATCTGCGGACCTTGTTAACCATCTTGTGATTTGATTCTCAGTCATTTGAAAAGGTTAGATTGCTCAGTTTGGCATTCTTACAAAAGTGTTTCATATCATTCAAATTAATAATAATTCTGTTTCGTACCTCTGAGTTTTTGGTCCGGCTGGGTATAAACGCTGGTTGCCTGGTTGACCTTATTGTAAACTTTGGTGTAGGTCCTCTTCTTGTGCGGCACAAAGTCTGGTGACATGTCATCATCAAATCCATCGATCTTCTTCTTCAGACTCTTTCCCCCTTTCCACCCTCCCTTGCCCTTGCCTACTCCCCAGTCATCTTTCTCTCCCTCCCATCCCCCCTTCCCTTGTTTCCACCTCTCTGCTGTCCACCCTCCTCTGGATCCCTTCTCCTTTATGACTCCTTTAGAGCCTTTTCCCGCTATATCAAATCTGTCCTCCCACGTAGTTTTTCTGCCTCCACCTCTGTGGGAGGACTTTTCTACGGAATCGCACGACAGTCTGTTTAAAGAGATAGCCACCTCTTTCAGCTCAGCGCTGATGATACTGCTCTTGCTGCTCATCGAGTGGGGCGAGCCGAAGGAGTGAGGAGAAGATTTGGCTTGCGGGAAAAGTTTCTTCATCACCTTTGGTCTGTTGTTTGTTGTTTTAGTTACACCTGGACAGAAGACAATCGTACATGTGACCATCAGGTTATACAACAGTAAAGAATAGTTACCATATGTTCCATCTGTAGAATCGTATTAATAGTATGAACCTGCATGAATGTCAAATCTTCTTCTGTCTTACTTGTATCCACATTAGTCTGTGTGGCTGTTTATACCTTTATCTTTATCTAGAGGGCTGGCTGTGCTTGCAATCTCTTCATACAATAACATTCCCCTAAGCTATTAGCTCAAGTTCTGTTCATGTTTGAACTCTTTCTCACCAACAGCAGTGTGCTTTTTCACGCACTGAAGTCTTCAGAAACTAATTGTGAGCTTGATCTTCTGGGACTCTGGGAAAACTATAGAGAACCTAAGCGAAACCTATAATAATAATGCCAAATTACAAAAAAATATGCCTTTCAACACAACCAAACAGTATATCGTGTGGTTCAGTCCAAATGTGTTGGTTTTAAATCAAATAATATTGTTTATTTTATGTCTTTCTTAGCTGCCTCCAATGAGCACCATTTCCCATAAGCCTTAGATAATTGCAAGTTCAACACCAGCTTGATAAAATCATGTCTCCATGGGCAAGTCGGAGGTACAGCTAGTTCAGAGCGAGAAGGCCAGACAGTGTAGATGTTTTTTAGAAAGTAAATGTTACAGCTTAAAAGCTGGAAAACAACATTATATGAGTGTTGGTGAATTTATAAATGTGGAAGAAACCTGGTTAAGATGACACAAATGCTGCATTTTGCTGTGTTGTTCGGTAACAAATTCATCATTGTTTAACTTTGCAAAGATCAGTTTCAATAGTAAGTGCTGTAATAAAATTAATTATTTTAGATATTTTAGAATACAGAGTGTAATCATTTGCTTCATTTTGTCAGAACATGCAGATAAAAAATGCATTAAAATTAAATTAAATTACAGCAATGGAAGAGACTAGCCTGTAGCTGACGTCCAGACTTCAGCTCTCTATAATGCAACTGAGAAACGTGCATGTAATATACAACAAAAGCATGTAAATAGATGCATATCAATGTATTTCAATGTCAAATTTGTTTAGTATTTCTCTGACAAAAAGACTAAGGATATGTTCAGAATGCAGGCCAATGTGACCCAAATCCGATTTTTTTGTCCATATGTGACTCAGATCTGATATTTTTATGACAGTGTGAACAGGCCAAGTCACATGGAATCGGTCACATTTTCCAGTTTGGAATAGGGCCACTTCCATATGTGGTCCAATCCGATTTTAAATGCGAGTGAGTGAGTGAGTTACGGGGCAGTTGCGTTGTACAGCGCCAGAAACCGTAATGAAAAGAACAGAAAGTTGTGAACACATAATTCGGGAGAAACGTGACCCGTGAGAAGAAAAACGGGAATCTCCCGCGAGCTAACCGGAGCTATGTTACTCCTTGTTTACTTCTGCAGCCTGCAACAGCGTGCTGCTGCGTGTGACATCGTGTTATTCTTCTACGCATGCAGGTCCCTTTCAGGCCGTGGACAGTTCACACTGGAGTCTGATATGGGCCACATTTAAACTATAATGTGAACTGTCAAACAGAAAAAAATCGGAATTGAGCATTAAGGCCTGCAGTCTGAACATAGCCTTAATATACTTGAATTTGAATGACGGCAGTATCAGAACTTTTTCACACATCGTTTCCCACCTCAGTCTGAAAGTAAATCTATTCAGGTTCTTAAATAAGATGTTCGTACCATTTGTTGCAGCCCCTTGTATGAATCCGCCTGGCCCAGTGGGTTCAAAGCCTCCAAAGGCCCAGTCTAACATCTGTTTCAGCAGCTCATCTCGGTCCTCAAGACGTGGAGAAAACTGCTTCTTACAACGCAGAGCCGCCTCCTGATAGACACGGACGTACATATGTAAGCAGCAGCACAAATATCTATCACATAACAACACTTTCTAAGTTCAGCTTTTAATTTGTCAATGGAGCAGCTTCTGCTGTTTGTATGTTGGCTGGGCAGTTAACACAACACACACACTTTTAACTCCTGTGCTTTTGTATTAGGAAATACACACAGACCTGCAGGGACAAGAAGATGGCTTCTCGGTAGGTGACGAGGATGGCAAAGGAGTTAGCGCTGAAGTGCTGGGCGAAGGCACCGAATGGTTTCAGTTCCTCCAAACTGACCTGTATTCAGAGCCAAGAAATCAGTGCATTGAAAGGAAATATGTATAAAGCTCAGCTCAGGAAATTGTATCAGAAAGATTTTAGGAATTTAAAAGAACCGCCAATGGTAATTGTGGTCATTTGTGGTTCAGGTCTTCATTTTAAAAGAGATCTATTATGCTTTTCCATTTCCATTTTATGACTTATCTACAATACAATGTTAGATGTTCATGTTAAACATGGTCAAAGCTTCAAATAATGAGGTTAAAGTATTTAAAAGAAATCCCTGTGAGAAAAAAAACTCAGATTTCCTCCTGTTCTGAATGCTCTGTTTTGAACAGCTTTTTCTACCGACTGCTCCGTCCGACACACAGAGCTACACAGCGCAGATATTCTGACAATTTATGCTACCTACCGGGATGTGCTACTTGGCAGTTCTTTGCATGCCTGTTGGTTAGGGTGAGGGTAATTTGCATTAAGGTTGCACGTCTCGATAAGGAACCATAAATTGTCAGAACACCGGTATTACAGTCATTTGCTCCACACAGCAACGCTCAGTCTGTCTGTACCGCTCAGCAGCAACAACAGCCTGGTAACATGCTTCAGGTCTTGGCCAATCAGAAGACAGTGGGCTTTGAGAGGGGGGTGCCTTAAAGAGACGAGCATCTACAGCTTGTTTCAGACAGAGGCTGAAATGAAGCTCTCCATAAAGAGCTAGTATAAGATCATGCAAAGCTGCCATACAGGAGGCACAGAACAACAAAATAGGACTGGGAAAGCAGTTTAATAGGTCGTCATCTGATACAGAACGAACAGAGAGTTCTGGTGCTGAAAATGTGGCAAAGTCACGTAATGTCACTATGAATATGAAGCATATATGTACATCATTACGCACTGTATAAACTCAGAATCCCTGATTTTCACCCTCATACCTGACTTACCTGAGAGGACATTCGCTGTCCGTACCACTCCACCATCCTCTTCCCTGGAAGTTCAACCTCTCCCCTGCACGGTACAATGACGGCTGGCCAGGGAGTGAAGCCCTCCACCTGACCCCAGACCAGCTCCCCCGCCGCATCCTGTACAACACAAACAAACAAGATGTTAAAGCAAAAACACAGACAGTTTCTAACATGTTGAAAGGTTCCTTTCTGTTTTAACCTGTAATCTAAGCACTACAACCTCATGACACACTGTTGCCCTTGAGTTCTTGTCTGGTTCTTGTTATTACTGACCTTTAAGTACAAACCAAGAGGAGGACACATAAAACAATATGGCCTGACAGGTAACTCATTCATTGGACAGTTTTGGTGATGTCATCAGGGCTGCAGCTTGTGACTGATATGCAGTACTTCACAGGGCTATATCTATTTATTATATGTTGGTGTCACAAAGAACATAGCAAACAGACAGGTGTTTGCATAGTTCCCAAATGATCTTGCATTATATATATATATATATATCCTGCAATGACAATTTTCATTATTGATAAATATGTCAAATATTTTCTTCATTAATTCATTTATCGTTTAGTCTCTAAAATGACGAGCAGGTGATTCAGTAGTCTTGAATTCATCTACTCTCACAAAAACCTGTGGTTGGTTCGCTTTGCTTTTCCACCACAAATGAAGTCCATTAAAAAGTGTACCAAGAAGCCCTTTATCAGGCGGTTTTCGTCCAGTTGTTTGGTCCATACGAGACTTTGATTAACAGCTTTCAGACCTGCATAAACTAACTAAACCGGCAAACAGGTAAATACAACAGAGGATGTTTGAATCAATCCAAACAGGTTAAGATGTGAAAGCACCATTAAATGTGTTTCTATATTTGATGTGAACATTTGCTACCTGGCTCAGCTGAGAATAAAACATTGTGTTTAAAGTATAATACATATACTGTATGTATGTAGTAAATTACTGGTTATAACACTACGCTAACTTTACAGTAGATTTTACCAGCAGTTCTGTTGAGTTGGATGGTGTGCTTGTTGAAACCATGACGTCATCATCATCGCTCACAATAACCACAGTCTCCGCCTGTGGAGGGCTATCACCTGCAAAACAGTGACAATAAGCTACTGAATCTACTGCGCTGTGGTGAACTCCGGTTCATCTTGAAGTGACTCACTGTGGTGTGAACACCTGGCCTTGCCAACATGTCGCTAATGCTATTCACAAATGAATTTAGAAAATGTGTAATTTTTATAGAAAATTAAATTGTGCAGGTAAGTATTACAAGACGCAGCGTCTGCAACACCTGCTTTAATGCAGCTTAAGATGCCGATAGGGCTCATTCGAGAATGAATGCATTAAAAGGAGATCACTGTTAGCCTACAGCATGTTTTACTAGATTATTAATAATACTGCACATTTCTTACTTTCTGCTTCTATCATCCTGTTGTGCCGACGTACTTTGAAGTCTTCTGTGAGATCAACCACATCTGATAAAAAAATAAAAACACACATTGGTTATCATCATTTGAAATTGCTGCTGGCATCACAATAAATTTAATTAATCAGGGACATTTTCATTTGATAAAGATGCTATAAGGCTTGGGCCGGGCGGTATCACAATATTACGATATACCAGGGTGTTTAAATTCAGGGCGACATCATCTACAACACAATCACCCCCCTGCACTTTTCCAGGACCTGATCAAATATATGCACGCATCATCAGGTCCTCCAGCAAGAATCCATGGAAGGAGGATCTTATTGCATTTCTATTTCATCATTATTCTATGGGTCATAAGTATTTAAACCCAGCGAGACTTGTCTAAGTAAGCCAACTACATTCCCGACACACAACATTGTAAGCTAGAAAATGTCATACATGCTAGAATGACTTCTTTCATCCCGTCATAAAACCGATGAAACGAGACGTAAAACCAAAGAAACGACATTACAATGGCACAAAGTAGGGGGTTTTCCGGTATCCAGGCAAAAATTCCCAACCTTGCTTTCTCTTAATCACCCTCCCTCTCCACCTAAAGCTGGTGTGTGGTGTGTAGCGCATATGGCTGCCGTGCATCACTCAGGTGGGTGCTACATATCGGTGGTGGTCGAGATAAGTTCACCTTTCCCTGAAGTGCTTTGAGTATCTATGATAAAACACTATATGCATTGTTATTGTTATCATTAATATCATGACCAGAAGCTCAGCTTTTACTTTGTTTTATTACACAAATACCATCATTTACCATATTTACCCCGTGAAATGTCATAGATATCGCCCAAGCCTAGCTGGTAACATAGAATTGTAGACACTAGCAAAGTGCACACCTGACAGTCTTACCAGAGGAATTGTCTGTGTAGTCTGAGTCCTCCGTACTGCTGTAGTGTTGCGATGAAATATTTAGACGGGTTTTGGCCGAGTCCTCCTTACTGCTGTAGTGTTGTGATGGAATATTTAGACGGGTTTTGGCCACATAACGATCACTTTCTTCTGATGAATTCTCTCCAGCTTCTTCTTCTTTCTTCTTATAACCATTTCTTGCCTTGACAGGTTTTCTTCTACAGATGCGGGGTCTTCCTGTCCACCTGCCTGGTTGAGATGAGGCTATGGAGGTTTCTTTCCTTTCATGAAGGATACTGGGGGTGTTGAAAGCCTTGAGACAAGAGCAAATACACACACACATTTAAGTCTTTATCTTCACAAAAATACAAAACTAGAAAAAATACAAACAACATATTCAAGTGGAAGAATTTTCCAGTTCCTGATGTATGTTGTACCACTGCTCAGGATTTAACTTACGCACACATGTACACACATCCAGACAGCGACACAAACGAAAGGCAAAAGCAAAAGGACATATACTTGCTACGGCTGTCACTTTCTGTCCGTAATCACTTGTACTGGCTGCGTGGGTTGCAAGCAAATTAATTTGCCTAAAGATGCGATGACTAGAAAAGATAAAATATCACAGTTGGCGCTTTCAGACCAAAAGCGAAGCGAGCATTCGGGGTGGTGAGTTTACATACAAAGTCAACGCAAAGACGCTTAGAGCCGCAATTTCCTGTCATTTTAGAAGTTGTTGTCCTGCTGACAGACCTGTCAAAGCATGAATTCATATTTTTAACAAATCTGCATCATTTTATAGTTATTTCGGCATCAGTTTGATCTGTTAATTGCTATTTAATCACAGCAAAATGTTTACTTTGGGTTCATACAGCTGTAGTAATGGCGAGGTGTGTTTACTGCCGTTATCGCGTTGTGTGTGAACACTCAGCAGTTGTCCAGCGATAAAACCCCCACGAGGAGAGCTTTGCATGGATTAAATTCGCATTTGGTCTGAATGCCGCGTTACATTGTCACTCATAAAAAAGTGGTAGGCCTGTGAGATGTACAAGCCTCCTCAGTATTCAGCCTGGTCATCTACAAACTGTCTGTATTTGGGGCCATATAAAGATGCTGAAGCTAAAAGTAGCTCCTAAATGGTGGAGACACTCCTAAAAATAAGTCCTAACTTCAAGATTTCAGCTAAAATGAGCTGAAAAAAAAAATATTTTAACAGGAATGTCTTGGTTAGGAAAGTCTTATGCCATTTAGGGGGACTACTTTTTGTGTGATAAGATCCTTTGTTAATGGACAAGGTCTTTAACACTCACCTTAGCAAACACCTGCGTCCTGCATAGGGAGCTCGGCAGGGCCAGGACAGTCAGGAGGAGTCTATGCAGAGTAGAGTACGGCCTAATGCCGCGCAACATCTGTACAGACAACACAGGGAACTCTTGTAATTACATTTGATATTCAATAGCAATGTTTCTACAGCATCTAATGAACTAGCTCTTTATCTACACAGAGTTTGCCAGTATTAAAAAATCATAATGAAAACAAATATTTTAGAAAATGTGTCAAAAATCACTCAAGGTAAGAGATAAGGTAGGTACATTTTAAATACAGAGAAATTATTTTTCCTGTTAATGTTGTTACAGTATGAAATATCGGTTACTAGAGGCACTGATTCCAGTAAGCAGACAGTTACAAATTTCATTTAATAACCGTTAGGCAACCTTGAACAGTTGAGTTGTCAGTTTACCTTCGCCCAGCAGTGACCTGTTCCACTCGTCTGTTCCTCCTTTGCCGTCTTGACCACACTGGCATAGTCGTATGCCAGCTGACGTTGTTCTGGAGTCCCAGCTTCACACAGACCCAGCTGATCCCCCAACTCTAACAGCACAAGCCTGGATAATTTATTATCCTGCAGGGAAAACACAGATATCACAGAACCGTACATAATATTTAATATACAGATTTGTGGCATCAGTAATCCGTACAACAACTGGATTTTTAAAATGACGATGGGTTGTTTTACGTTTTTTTAGGCTGGGATTAGTTACCAGAAGACCAGCGGAGTCCAGGAAGTCACTGAGTTGAGCCAAGCTAAGCTAACCAGCAGCTGGCTACACCCTGCTATTTAACAGACAGGTATGAAAGAGGCATCTATCTTTTCATGTTCTTTCCACCAGAAAGCGAATGGTGTTTTTACTATTACTGAAAAATGTGATTGTTGTTGTACACTGACGGTTATCAGACTGACCAGAGAGGAAAACAGATTAATGTTGGTAGAGTCCTCGCAGTGCTCACTCACTGCTGTTTGTGATATAGTATTAAACTCTCTGGGTTTCTGTAAATAACATCCCACAACTGATGTTGTAATTTGGCGCTATATAAATAAAGAAGTAAACATCTTTCCGCTCCAGAAGTCCAATTTTACAGTGCTTTTTTTCCTACTGCATCTACGCTATGATATCGTTTAATTTAATTAATTCTACATAAACATAAACAGATATTAAGCTATAGCTGGCTGCATAAACTCATGTATAATAAAAAATAAATGTTCTTACATTGATATTTTCAGGATGTTTCAACACTTTGCCGATATTCCTCAGTGCCACATCTCCGAGCTGCTTAGGAATACTTTCTACTATACTCTGTAGGGCTGCTTTATAGAAAGACGCCGCGTCCTTTAGGAATTCCCTCCTCTCGTGATCCCCCAGATCCACAACAGCGGTGGCCCACAGGAACTCTCTGGCACGAGAACCTACGTTCACCTCGGACGTGGGGAGGAGCTTCATCTCATTGTTTAGCACATGCAGTTCTCGGTTCCTGAGAAAGCACTCAGCGACAGAGGGCTGGAGGAGACTGGCTGCGTAGGAGTGAACCAGCATGGAGGTCAGCTGGAGCTCCACAGCCACCTCTGCTTTGCCGTCCTGCTGCAATTCTTGGAGAGCTCGGAGGGGCTCCAAAGTGTGGGAGAGGAACAGGAACTGCAGCTTGACTTTATGACTCATCAGCTGGGTTCTGATCCGGTCAGTATCCTCTGCTTGTCTCAGTGACTTAAAATAGTCCACTACATCCCTCCAGCTGCTGACCATCTTCTGCACAGTGTTGATGATAAATAAACACTGTGCAGAGATAGAACACGATGGGTTGTAAGGCTCTGCATCAGCAAATAGCTCTTTCAGGCTGTCATTGACGGAGGAGCAGGTGGAGTAGTGATGGTGGATGTCTCTAACCAGGTCAACTACCGAGTGAAAGGAGGCCGAGAGTGCAGCCTGGCTGGCTCTTCCTGCAATCCCAGAGAGGCCGCAGAGTGATATCAACCCAGTGTTGAAAGCCTTGAGCTGGGATACAAAAGCCTGGTTCGCCTCCACGTTTGGAGAGTTACAGTAGAACACAGCAAGGTTGGGCAGAGGAAGTCCACACTTCTTTAGCGTCTGAATCAGAGATTGTGCATCAGTGTCAGAGTTCATCTCCAGAGTGTGCAGCAGCCTCACCACATTGACCCCTGCGCTCTGGTCAAAGTAGCCAATCAGGATGACACTTGTGCTCTGTCCTTCACCCAGCTCTACCCCCGTATACAGGTAGAGGCAGTACGGCGTGTCATAGCAGGCCAGAATGATGTCTCTAGGGTGGATTGGACTCAGGATGGTAGGGACTGAAGGGTTTGTACTCGAGTCAGCACTGACACTCCAGTATCTTCTGATGAAGTGCAATAAAGTATCACTGCTGTAGGACCCACTCCCTTGATTTCCCTTGTCCACTGCTGCTTCAGCTTGCTCCACCTTCATTGTCTTCTGTGGCTGTGGACACTCTTCTTTCACTTGTGTCTCCATTTTCTCCGGTTTCTGCTCCATCGTCACATCCACCACATCATCCTCGTCGTCAGATATAAAAACTACCACTTCTGCCTTCCGGTTCAAGTTTGCTCTTGGTTTTTCGTTTCTCGGTTCTTCTACTGCTTGGCCATCCACCTTCAAAATAATCTCCAGTTTCTGATGAGAGGTCTGGGAGGAATGACCATCTGTAATGGGAATAAAAAAAAAGAATAATTAAGGGATGTTTTCAACACAGCACTCTCATTATAGCTGCACTAAATGTATCACTTCATTATATATATATATATATAAGATGTGTATTTTATATCTCTCTGTCCGTGTTAAACCTTGTGCTGCTGTAGCCTCGTGTTAATGCAATGGCATTCAATTTATGCTAGGACGCTGTTCAAAATGCTCTTCAGTCTGACTTAGTAAGATTGTTGTTGTGAAACATAAGACCAACATGTAAAATTGACATAATAGAGCTTTTAAATGGTCATATACTGACCATGCGACTAAATCAAAACTTTACATTTAGGTGCCGCTTTATCACATGTGAAAAAGTAACGTACCCCAAGTAAGAATAACACCTAAATAAAAAGGTCTTAGTGCTTTGTAATTGTAACAAATAGGCAACCATTGCTATGTCAGGTTTCTGTGTGATTTATTCACCGACACACACAGCTCCCACCTGAGTCAGGAACCATACTCTGTCCGCCTCTGGCCTCCAGGGCATGGTACTCCCTGCCTTTATTGTTCTGGTCAAAGAACAGCTTAAACCACTGCAGGAAGGTCAGAGCCACTAAGGAGTTCCTCTTCATCAGCTCCTCAATGGGGATGTCCTGGAGAGAGGAAAGGTTTACGGATCATGCATGTGTTTATATCCTACAATCAACAATAATTGTTCTAGTTTAAGGTGTGTTTCTATCTGCTGGTTTCAAATAAAATAATGAAAAATGCAAAGGCTCTGAAAAGGTTATCAGCTCTAAAGTCCATCCAAAGCTGGATTCTAGAGGCTATATTTGAGAGTTTAAATGATCCGATAAAAATATATCAACCAATATTCTTTTTTTAAAATATAAATAATTTTTGTTCCATGTCTTCTTGTTACTTAATGGCCATAATACACCGATACCAATATATCTGCAATGTGAACATAACTTGATTATTTATTAGTCCTCTATCTGAACTGTGCTGAGCAAATTAAAATGTTTTCAGACTAAGGCAAAATCCACTCTACTGCGTTTTCGAATTAAAACGGAGACCTTCTGCTACGTTTGCGCCTCCTGTCCAAACGGAGACGTTTGGAAACGCTGCCGACCCCGTTTCGCCTTTCAAAACTCCCAAGGGCGTTTTAGTGAAGACGGGCCGGAGAACTTTAGAAACGATGACGCAGCCGCTCACGCTCGGCTCTCTGATTGGGTCTTGCAAACTGACCGGGTTTTTGACATCGTACTTTTATTAAAATATTATGTACGGTGCAAATAACATTTACCTACACAGATCATGTTCGTTTTAATTCTCCGTTTGTAAACTAAAACAGAGTAGTGTGGATGGGGCCTAAGGGGCCGTTCACCGCTTTTGTTACAATACTCACATGGACCACTCCGACTTTTCTGAACGCAGCTTGCAGTAAACTGTAGTTGTGGATAAAGTCCACTGTTTTGTTGCTTTGGAACCGGACCCTGCAAAGGTCCAGGGACCCAGGAAACAACCAGTCCATCAGCTGGCAAAAGGCTGCACCTGGATTTCAGACAACATACACACACAGAAGTAATTGATAAAAATTGATTGCTGCTGCTGCTTTGAAAACACATCATTCAAGTTCAAACACTAAGGGCCTGATTAACTAAGTTAATGAGTATTTAGCGCCTCATTTATTAAGGCAGCAGTACACTACATTCAGAGATCATTACTGTCAGAAAATCTTACGATCTTAATTCCAAAACATTAACTTCAGCCTCAAATTAATTACTTATAATCGTACAATCTTTAGGTTTAATTATTTTGTTGCCAATATCACATTCATGGGAAAGTGTTAGTAGATAGATTTAGATGCACAAAAGGCCCACAATAAACAAGATATTACGATCATTTAGAATTATCTTGTATTTTCTACATTTATGTTTTTTTAGTTATATAGAGTTCTGTTTTTTTTTTTCGTTGGTTCATTTAAGTGATAAGCTACAGTGAGGCTAGTTACTCCCACAACTTCTCCAGAAATCTCTTTATCTTCATGCCTTCCTCTCAGAGGCTGAGAATTTTCCAAGCGAAACTGACCTTTGCAAATAGCATGACTGGTGAGATCCATAATCTCTCAGGTCTAGGTGCTGCAACAGCATAAATCCATAGTTTGTTGAATCCCACATTAAAAACACACATGCATGTTGACCTACCTGTGCATATCTGCTCCACCTTGGTGAAACCCGTCTGTAAAGATTCATTGACCCAAGCTAGCAGCTCATATCGATTTGGTGCCCCTGATTGCACAACTACGTTCACTGCCAAATTCTGTGCCATCTCCTTAAGGGACGGACCTGCACAAACACCATGTAAATATATCAGACAAACGTAAACATTGATCCATTACCAAACACATCAGATGAAGAAGTCACAAAACTGAATTGTGTTACCTTATATTTTATGATGTGGAATTAAATACAGCAAGCATTTAGCTCAAGTGAAACATGAGGGAGGCATTTTAAATTACATTGTGCATTTACACAAAACTATCATGCCTTGTGCAAACTGCTCTGAGACACTTAAAACAGCAGTGAAATCAGAACAAGCCATGAATCACTGCCCCACAACAACTGGCTCTACACTTCAAAACCTTTAACTCGAACTTTTCTTTTAGCAGACTTGTAACATTACTAAATCCAGGACAAATAACTTCCCATGATATAATGACATAAAACTGTGTTCTCAATTGTCTAGACTCAGCTACTGGACTTGTTGCACGGGATGTTTACTACCTCCTGCTCACTCTCACAAAGACGACTAACTTACTTGGGCCTTCTCCCCTTGACTGTCTCCCGCGAATCCATGCTGCATTCATTTCGTGCAGTTCATCTCAATTTCAGTAGATGAAAGGCTACGAACTACGTAACTACTACTAATGAACGCGCGGTTTGTCGATGTGCTCCCATTTATTTCACTCTCTTTAGGCGACATCCTGGTAATTTAATGGTGTCCTCGTGTTTACAAATTACCAAGAAGGATATTACTACGCATTTGTTTTTGACAAGGGAAAGTTTGCCTTGCTTGCAAACACAACACCTGTTTATGTGTAAGTATGAAACAACTGCGCTACCGCGAATTGCTTTTTCCCCTATTAACCAAATTAAGTAACGTTAAATCAATTAACTTTATTTCCATATGGTGTTTATTTAAATAACTGTGTGGACTTGAATGCAACCATGTTTCCAATGCGGCAAAAAGTTATCATCTTTGCACCAATCAGATTAGAGCGGGTAGAGTCCTGACCAATAGAATCAACGGGAAAAATAGCAGTTCCAAGAAACTGACACGGGGTCAGATTATATACCGGTATGAATGAAAGTGAATCATTGAAACCGACTTTTGATCAGCTGCTGTGCAAGTTGTACCACACTGGCCGGAAGAGAAGCCATGATGGATCTGGAGGGAAAACATGGCAACAAGCAATGGGGGCGATGTTGAGCCCAAACAATAACGAACCCACGTAAACAATGAAACGACAGCTTTACGTTCCCTATCCATGTGCACAATAGAGCGGCCGAATCACGCTTTAAAGATTAGGCACTTTAAAATAACTTTTATAAAAGTTATGAACTAACGTTAAACTTTGTGATAATTGGTGAGGTAACGTTATTGGAGATTGCTCGCTGCGAAACGTACAAATCAGTCCGCAAGTAACTTAATGTTAACGTAACCATAATGTTAAGATAGCCACAAACGTTAACATCTAAACGTTTAAATCAACCTAATTAAATGCAGACATACGCTATCTTGCTTATCTTATATTAAATAATCGCGATTTAGCTAGATTGCTATGTTTGGGGAACGAATTAAGTTAACGTTGTAATAAATAGAAAAGACGTTAAGCCGATGCGGCTACATCGGTTAACGCAAGCTAAACAACGCTACATTAACGTTAACTTACGTGAGCTAGCCAACGGACTTTAACGGTAGAAAACGGCGGATTTAGAGCGCGAATATAACGTAGTGGCGTTAACTAACTTCATGTTGTATAAACTAAATCTTTGTCAAATATATTCAGAATACGGTTGAGAAAACATCGTCTACTCACCCCGTCTTTGTCGTTTCAACTACCGGTACCAGACTCGACAGATCCTCCGCCCCGAACCCCTAAACCCACCCCCCCTTCCTCGCTCCCGGCTGGGCTAACGTTACCATCCCGCCAGTTCGCTATTCTTGGGAGGACTGTTTGGCAATTCAACGTAATATAAGTAAATAGAAATATCACGAAATTACCACCATGCGTTCATTAATCTGATAGTGATTATAAAATAACGTCACGTAACAGCCAACTTGTACACTTTGCTAACAACTAACGTTACGGTGTGAATGTCACGATTGTACAAAAGTGTTAGCATGCTAAGCTAAGTAACGTTAGGTTACGCCGGTTAGCAAGATTTCCTGGCTACTAGCTTTTGTAGCTTTTAACTTTTAGTCTACTCCAGTGCATTAGCCGCTAGCCGACATGCCCAGCGCTGTTCAAACTGTTATACTTGAGTGTTTAATCGCAATATTTAAACATCTTAATTATTTAAGTCTTCTTTAAAAACACACAAAAAAAACGATCTACACCAAAAGCACAACTTAAAGGTTATCAAACGATTTACAATATGTTAACGTTAATGTTGCTGAAAGAAAATATGTTTGGTTGTGAAGTGTAATAAAGGAATTAAAAATACTTTTATAATAAATGAGGACAGTGGTAGATAATATTTTTTTTAGTAATGGTAAAAAATGCGGAATTCATTGATTGGAAAAATGGCGTCTCCAAACTTCTCAGAGATCTTCTCCATATTATCACTGCTTTACTGTTCCAGCTGCATGCCCTGTCTTTGACAAGGTCATAATCAAACCACATAAGATGTAGTTGTATATAACTATAGAAACCCATTTCCTTATTTACTAGAGTAGTTGCAGTCAGCTCAAAACATTCACTTAGTTCCAATCCAAGGTTGTACTAAAATGCTACTTCCTTAATTACAGCCTCTTAATTCTGGTTTTGCCTTAAATTACACGGAAACTATTGAAGGTAGCCAATGTTTTCTTTAGTTCTTCATATTCTGACTCACAGTGTCAGGAACAGTTCCTGTACAATAACCCAGTAACTCTGCCTCTAATCAGCCACCTGTTTACTGCTTACCATTTATTATTTATTCATCATTCTCTCGTTTTATAATTCAGAGCTGTTCATATTGTCATATTGTATATACTGTATACAAAATCCACTTACATCAAACACATAATACCAGCACATAAAATTATTTATTCCGGCAACAATTGCACTATGCTCCATCACAATGTGTACATGTATGCACCTATGTGTATGTGCACCTGGATCTCACCCACCTCCGACATGTACATAATAATAATAATAATTTACTCTTGCATCCATTGCACTCCATCAGCACTACTGTCTCAATCTGTCTATATTGTTTTGTTTATAGTATGTATATATGTGTTCTCTTTACTGTAGCCTGTGTCTGATTTTATTATTGTATTGTATAGCAAGTAAGCACATCGTGAGCAATGTATAATCCTGAGTTAAATTCCCCGTATGTGTACACATACCTGGCAATAAAGCTGATTCAGATTCTGTTTCTGATTCGGATATTACTGAGCACACAACACTGTCAGAATCAGCTTAAATGGCCAGGTGTGTGTAGGCCTACACATAAGGGGAATGTGATATTTGGTATACTGGTGCAGTCCGAACAACCTGGAGTTTAACTCCAACATCAACTTTAACTACTACTAACAGATAGTGCAGAAAAAATCATTGGTTTCAACCTGCCGTCCATTCAGGATTTATACATTTCCAGAGTCAGGAAAAGGGCAGGAAACATCACTGCAGATCCATCTCACCCCGGACACAACCTGTTCCAGCTTCTCCGCTCTGGTAGGCGCTACAGAGCACTGTACGCCAAAACCAACAGACTCAAAAACAGTTTCTTCGCACAAGCCATCACTCTGATGAACAGCTGACTGACTCACAATGTCATCAACCATTCCTGTGCAATAACCCAGTAACTCTGTCACCTGTTTACTGGCTACCACTTAGTATATATTCATCATTCTCTATTTCAGAGCTGTTCATACTGTATATTGTATATACTGGATACCAAATCCACCTACCGCATGTAAATAGCACCTGCACATTATACTTATTTATTCCAGCGTTCTTCGTACTCATCACACTGTGTACATGTATGCATGTATGTTTGTGCACCTGTATATCACATCCACCTCCGACATGTACATAATAACAATAATGGTAATAATAATTTTCTCCTGCATCTTTTGCACTCTGCTCATGGCACTATTGTCTCAATCTGTCTTTTTCTGTTCATGGTGTGTATATATGTGTTCTCTATACTGTAGCCTGTGTTTCATTCTTATTGTATAAATAAGCACATTGTGAGCATTTTACAATCCAGAGTCAAATTCCTCGTATGTGTAAACATACCTGGCAATGATTCTGATTCTGATTACATTGCTCTCAATGTACATAACACAGAACAAGCATAAACAAAAAGAGCATATTGAGGGTGAATTGAAGACTTTAATTTCTATCCCAACAGCACTTAGATTTTACATTCCTTTCCTGCCAGGAGATCCTGATTATATTTTGTTTAACTTAAACATGACTCCCTGAGAACTTTCTCAATCTAAACAAGAATTTGTTTAGGGCAAAAAAATGTATTCAAACAACTGCCTCTTCTTTGATGGCAGGTCCAGTTTTCCAAAAATTTGGATGACTCTTCACCGTTGTTGAAAAACACATTATTACCACTAAAGGAGATTTCTTCCATCTTCATCACATTGCCCAAATTCTTTTGGTTCTAACACCATTAGATGAAAAGGATTTCTTACTTTATCCAGACTTGAGAGCACTTGCAGCCACTACAATTCCCTAATTTTGAATCCAAACATCTGAGCACATAACGATAATAAGATTTTGTCTTCACTTCAAGGTCTTGCTGTTTCATCCAGGCTGACTGTAAAATTGCTGCTTAATACATTTTTCAGAACTCTTCAATCCTCAACATTTCCCCCACATATTCTCAGATGAGGCAGGCTGTCTCATTAAGCAATCTTTGACAGCAGCGCTTTTTTACACATCATGCTACATTTTCGTGGAATAAATTCACTTGATCAGAGAGGCGACCAGATTAGACACAAAGGTATTTAAAGAAAAAAGCTTTTCGTCTTCCATCTCATTCAAATTAATGTATAACAGGATGTCTGTTCCAAGGTTTTTATTTTAATTTTTTTGTTCTTTGCTTATTGCTGTAAATAAAAATAAACATATAAATATATGTGTTTATATATATATATACAGTTGTGTTTTTGCTCACACCTACATTTTAAACCATACAGTAAACGCCAAAGTGTGGTTTACATTTTGTATGACCTTGTCATTTGCAAGTGCCTTCATCATTTAAAATTTCTATATATCTCATGATTATACTACTGAAACAATTAATGGACCAGCTGATAAACAAAATGCAGATATTGATTACTGATAAACCATTAAGGTTATTTATCATGTAAAATTCCAAAAATTACTAAGCATTTTTTAATACTTTTGGGGAGTTTCAACAGTTCCTCAGAAAAGCCGTCATTTATGTTCTGATTTTACATACTGAACAATTAATAAGGTCACTAAAAATAATTAGTGGGTTAACCACTATTGAAAACAAGATGTATTTGGAACCTCATTGACCCTTACAGACATTTTGCCACTGAGAGGAATATTCAAACAAAAGACAACTTAATTAGCATTTCACGCAGACACATGGCAGTGGTTTTCAGCAGCGAAGCTGCGTTTTATTGAGTACAAATTATATATATAGGTTGCTATAAGAAGTACACAAATGTAAAAAAAAAATACATCAAAGTATAAAAATAGCACAATCTGTTCCTTTGAATTGCTTTTGCACTGTAGATTCATAAAAAGGCAAAAAGAAAATTCCTAAAATGCAATTCTGATAAAAGACACAGCATAAAAAGGTTATACTACTAAAAAAGGTCCTCAGCTATTATTCACACTCAAACCTACAAATACACACTCAAATGGTCTAAATAACAAAACATATCAAAAATCTATTGATTATTATGCTCTATATCGTGCTATAACATTACAAATTTCAAGCAAGCTTTATACTGTGTTAATATATAGTATGTGTTCTCCATATAAAAAGTCTTAAAAGAGCAGTTACAAAAAGAAAAGAGAAACACTAGAATTTTTGCGTACTGTTTTCAAACAAAACATTCAACAAGTTCAGCAGTATTAATGAAGCATGTAAACAATTACTTTTTGGTTTTTAAAGGACTTGAAAATCGACCTGGAAAACTAAAAGAGGCACTTTTGAGCACCATAGAGGAGTCTTGCATTTCTAAATGAGCTGGCCATTTAAACATTAAACAAAGAAAAGTTATTTTAAGAAGGCGTGTGCATTTTTGTGTAAAAAAATTTAGTTCTTGGTAGAACCAGAGTTAAAACACTTGTAAACCTTTCTATCAATACAGTACGCAAAACATTGTGTAAAAAAAAAGTTCCAGTGATAAAATGCAAGCTCTCTCTATATATACTGGGCATATGGGAGCAGAAAGCTACAGTATATATTCACAGAACACAGATCCTATAGGAGGAGTTGCCCCTTTGTCTGAGGTAATGCCCGTTTAGAAGGATTTGGTGACAGCCAACAGCATTTAAAAAAATCTTCCAGTTATCAGAACAGAAAGGTATTTCAAAAGGATTTTTTTGGCGTGGTCCGTTGGTCACATCAAGAGAATTGGTACCAAAATAAACTGTCCAGTAAATACTTGTCTGGTGAACATGCTAATGCTTAAGCATACAGTCTGACATGTAATTGCAGGCAAAAAAAACCCCCTGCTATCCAGTCAGATAATAATTCAGAAATGGTAAAGACCTGTGGACTATAAACAATCTTTATCTTTCTTAAGGAGTATTAAAAATAATCATTATTGCAAAAGCTTGGTGTTTGAGGTGTGAGGAAAACAATTCTGGCAATAAATGTGTGCATTCAGACTCTTTGTGTTCTCACTTTGAGGATACTCACAAATACTTAGAATTAGTGTATTTATACACACTGTTTCCCAAAGCATTTGTACCATGCGGAACAAAGCACCGTATCAACCAGCATCGTAGAGATGATTTTTCATCACAGTCTCCATGTTAGATGTTTTGGAAACTAAAAAAACTCCCTTAAACAAAAAGTAGTCAGTGCTAGTTTGCAAAAAGAGATTGCGTGTTCACCAGTGTTTACCACCATTTGTTTTGTTGTAAAACCCACATTTATACACAGTGACACTCACTCTTTCCTGGGTTCAAACGAACTTCTTTTAACCTGGATCACCAGCTGTTACAGTAAACTAAAACAATTTTATTTCTTAAAGATAAAATCTAAACATCTACAGTAGGATAAACGCCATCACTTGTTAAATCTTTGCTGTCTGGAAAGGTTGGCAAAAGCCAAAAAACCCATTCTCTATATCTCTGTTTTTGCATTGGCTTGTTTCAAGTATTTGTACGTAGCTATCAGGGAGACGTCGCTGTGACATAACAGTATAACTCAAAGTTTCACACTATCTATACAAAAACATTTTTATATAATCTTCAGTAAAAGATGCTTTTCTATTTTTTTTAAAAGGAAGCAATTTTTTTTTTCATATGAACTCATCCCAAAGCAAAAGACAAAAGGTAAAATTACTGTTTTTCTTACAACAAACAACAAAAAACTGTGAATGTGAACCCATCTAGATATAAACCAAACTCCTGCTTCATTTCCAGGTTAGCTTTTGGTCCACTAGCTTCCACGGCTGGATGTACTTTCTTACAGAGGACGTCTTTCAGTGGTCTTTTGAAAAACTCAAACATGTTAAGGTTTTATTTCCAGATTTGAATCTAAATGAGCAAACTAAAGACTGATTCTTTTTTTGTAAGCATTGAACAGCTACAGCTTCCACAAAGCTTTCACCGCAGCTTAGCATTATGGGATATGTAGTTGTTGTTGAATGCTAACAAAATAATCAGTGTTATCTTGGTTAAAATGAACAGATGCTCATCTTTTATCACCAAGCACAATTATACATGTTTATTATCTTAAAATTGAGACATAAACTCCAGTATCATGTTTCAGCTTTTCTAGACAGGCCGAAGAACAACCCCTTTTTTTTTTGGGAGAAAATCCATTCAGGCCGAGGTTAGTGGAACAGCAGGTACCCAAACACTGAGCAGGACTTCAACCGTCCATCTTCTGACTTTGGTTCAAGTGAGCTTTTCAAGTGTTTTTCTTTAGGTTAACAGCCTGTATGAGCAGCTTGCTTGTTTAATCGTCAGCTAGACGGAGGTGAGATGAGCGACCTCTGAAATGTTTAACACTTCCTAAAAAAAAAAAAGTTTGATACAGAGCCACTTGAAAAGTTGTACCGACGGTGCCATGTTGTTCTCTATTTTCTACAACTACTAAGTGTTGTCAACTTAAAAACAATGCCTTCCGATGGCCATTTAAAAAGAAGAAAACTCCTATTAAATCCGTTGTACAGGCTTAATGTTAACGTAAAAAAAAGGCAGAAGGGTCATGAATCGCACACCTGACCTTTGACCCTCCCTCTCTTTCTGACACTGTGGGGTAGTGATAAACCACAGCCGAAGGTGCTCACCTATGCTGTACGTGTATCTCTTTGTTAGTGTGTGTTATGTGTCTTTAAGGCTGCAGTGTATTATCGCCAGGATCCAGACAGGACTGGACATCTAACAGCTACTTTCACTTTTCCCAGCTACAGGGATTGTTGTTCGCTGGTGATAGGGTGATGTCTATTCACAGGCAAAGTAGTCTTTCAGTGGTGCGAACAGATGCCTGATGACGGGGACGCTCCAGGATCGGCCCAGGAGCCTCTGTCTGGCACCGCGACCCATGTTGGACACGTCCGTGTAGTGGACAGGGAAACCAAAGATCCTGCAGGGTCAGGAATACACAGCCAAAATTTAAATCACATCCCATGTCCGTGACTCATTTATTTAATTTTAAAAGTTTTAATGTTTGCATTTAACAGCGTGTGTGTTTCTGCTCACCTCTCCAGCTCAGTGCACCACAGTATGTCCTCCTTCCCGTTCATCAGGACAGGGAAGTGTTGATCCTTCCCTTGTTTGATGGAATTGGAGCGGGTAGTGATGGTGCGCACCTTTCCAAACTATGAAACAACAAATACACGGTCAAACAGAACTGACCAGTAAAAAACAGCAGAACAACAGATCCTCATCATTGACTTTATTCCGTGTTCTGTAGATATCAAACCTTTGCAACTCTGCCGTGGTCCAGACAGTCCTGCAGCTCCAGCTTGTCCATACCCGAGGCACACAGAGGCCTGAAACAGAGAGGATTGATAATGTTTATATACTGTATATAGTAGTGCTGGCAACGATTTAAAAATTTAAGTGCGATTAATCGCATGATTTTCTTCTTTTGTCAGGGAGCATTAATTTCATTTCCTCACTTAGCTGATGCTTTTATCCAAAGCAACTTACAATTGTTAATTATGTCAGAGGTCGCACAACTAAGGGTTAAGTGTCCTGGTGTCTTGCTCGGGGACACAATGGTAGATGTGTCGCAGTGGGGAATTGAACCGGGTCTCTCTCACTTATCCACTGCACCATCACCACCCAGATCAGCAGCATAATGTTCAGTAGCAAGTGTCCCTTTTCAGAGTGAGCTGCCGTAGCTGAATTGTCTTGAACTTTTTCTACGTGACGCACAGCACAAATAACTTGAAGAGAGACTGGGCTATAAATACAACTATTTTAGCCTTAGACACTGCTGTTTGAACATGTGCACAACCATGGAAAAGTCTCATAAATCCACCAATCTTCAGTGTTTACATGTTTTTTCTTTGAGAAAAGAATTAGGACTTTCTGAGTTGAGCGTTTTTTTCCCCTACCTGTTCATGCCTGGCAGGTTTCCCCAGAAGTATCGGGCACGGTGAGCAGCAGAAACCTCGATAGCATCAATCATAACAGGGTTACACTGCAGAAAAACACACAGAGACACACAGTGATTACTCATAAACTCGAGGTAATCCTATTTACACAGTGCTTAAAATGATTCTCAGGCGCTTTTACTGTTTTTTAATCATTCTTTATTGTTGTTTCTCACAGGAAACTAAATGACTACTAGTGGATTAAAGGGGAAATCACTATGCCTAAGCAGAAATATATGTGTACAACGAACAATTAGCTGTTTAAGCGTTTAAATGGTTGTAGGGCTTAAGTTTAAAATTAGCCTTTACTTTGATGTCTTGAACTACATCCTTTGTAAGCAATATCTTTCATTCACAGATGTCCTTGTTAATGTTTTTGATAGCTGCAGCTGTTTATAGTGAGCTTAACAGCTGTAAATGAACAGCCTACAAGGTCTAACTCACCTCCAGGAAGCGTGAGATGTCCCTTTTGTCATTGACGCCCATGGCCACCACGTTCTCGAACATCCAGAAGAACGGCCGGTCCTCTCCTTCTTTGGGCTTGGCCTCGCTCAGCAGACGGTAAAACTCAAAGAACAACCTCCCTGTGCCTTCTGGAGCATCAAAACACCATCAGAGTCCAAAAAAAAATCATCAGCCTGCTTAAGTTCAGTCTCAAAATCAATGTATTTTTCTTTGAATTGTATCCACAGAAAAGTAAAGCATCAGAAACAGCACATGATTGTGGGAAACTAAAAGTATTCACCTAAATTCATATTAATGAAATCAAAATGACTATAGGTTTCAGTAGACTTTAATGCACCACATCCATTCCCTGCTCACACCTGATTAAAAATGACAATAATAGTTAAAAACACAGTTAATGAAATTATTTCCTCTGGCAGATATTTACCATACAGGCCTTTCCTCGCTGGATTAACAATTGACAGGTCGTTGCAGGGACTTCCTCCAATCACCAGGTCAAAGGGACCCCACTCCAGAAGCTGAGAGAGACAACAGCACCACCAAGTGTTAGACTGAGGGAGTGACAGCTACTGCATGAACAACACAACAACGTGCAACTCACTGAGTGACAGATTTCCTAGTTGTCATGAATCTCAACATCTTTACTAGAAAACAGTGAGATTTTAGGACCAAGAATCATCCAATATCGGCTGATTCAATGATGAGGATGGAAAATTATTCCCTAAATTCTACTTCAGTGTAGATGTAAAGTAAAAAACATCATTAGGGCTGAAACTAGCAATCGTTTTCATTAATATGTTGATTATTTTCAAGACTGATAGACTCCATAAAGTGTCCAAAATGTCGATTGCAACTTTGCAAAGCCCAAGTTGACATTTTCTGATTGGTTGTTTTGTCTGAACAATAGAGCAAACACAAATATTATATATTCAGTTAAACATCATAAAAAACAAAGACAACCAGCAAATATTCATATTTAAGAAGCTCAAACCACTGACTCTGGGGCATTTTAACTTTTAAAAAAATGACTGAAATGATTTTCAATAAACAAAACAGTTGTTTTGTTGATTGACTTTTCCATTAATTGACTCACCTCTAAATGTAATTTATTCATTTAACCAGCAACAGGCATGAGGTTACTATTTTAACCCACCATCTGCTCGCTCCTTTTGTTCTCTTTCACCCATTCACATCCTTCCCCGTCCTTTTACAGAGGACAATGAGGGAAAGAGAGATGAGAGAAAGAACTAGGAATTAAGGAACAGAGAGAAAAAAACAGGAGGTGGAGGTGGAGGTGGAGGTGCTCTTAATCTCTTACATAACAGCGCCGTGAACCCACACACTCACAGACACTCACACACAGCATGACTAACAAATGAAAGGCTTCCTGAGGGGATTTACAGAGGTTGGAGTTGCTCTTTGTCCTCTGTCGTGAACCACGTCACTGCAGCGGCCAGCCTCTGTTTGCTGTGTGTTATAATGTCATGATACACTTATTTGCTTTCTTTCTGAGAGGCAGACTGATACCACTCTCATGTTTGTAGGGTTGAGTATGGAGGACCGCTTCCAAGTTGCAACCGTTACCAAATTTCCAAGAACTGTGGATTTTCTTTTTGATAAGACACATGCATTTTTCGATTTCTGCATATTTCAGCTCCTGATTGACATGTAGGGAGCATTTTACAGTCCACACAAGTGTCTCTTATCTGCCAGGAGCTGCTACGCCGACCTAACGTCACGTCATTTTCTTACGCTACGTCAACAAGACTTAAAGAAGAGCGTACTTCTGTTTCCAGTCATGGACAATAGCAGCCCGCAGCAAATGCTCCAAAGTTTGGCTTAGCTTCACTAAAAAGAGAAAGACAGCAAAATGCAACACCTGCAGTAAGGAGGTTTGGTGCGAGTATGCTTCAGGGCTGGTACCCACGGCACTGTGTAAATTTACCAGCGCCAGTGAAAAAGCTTTTAGGAAGCGGCTGTTCACTTTCTCTGGTGAATACATTTAGTTTTAAGCCTGTTGTTTGCTAGACAAAGTTATCAGCCCAGT